GAATACGAATAAGAACCACAGGTGCCTTGGGGTCTTCAAACGGAGAAGGGGCCAAACTCGTAAGGCGAAACCCATCCGACAGGGTGACGGCGTTCCGTGCATGACTGCAGCTAGCACTTTATCAAAACTTCAAAAATTTCAATATTTGCAGGTACGCCGAGTTGATCAGACTCGGTATCCCGTGATTGCGGTAGCTTCGTTGAGTGCGGTCCCACAATCACGCCGCACTAAAAACTCAAACCATCACAGTGGGTGTGAGCAAAACCTGCTTGCCGCGTTTGCATGTCTGGGTGAGGGGCGTCTGGCACGTCTGGATCCTCCTCAGCGAGGGGTCCCTCACAGCGGGTGTGAGGGAACGGGGGGCCCAAGGCCTCGATCTGGGCTCTGGCCTCCATGCCTGGAGACTTGCAGGGGCCTGTCCATGGGCAATCTGAGCAGTGTCCCAGGAGCTTGTAGTAGCGCCAGCTGGGAGCCCCTAGCAGCGTCCATGCTCCTAGAAGCGATGTGAAGCCCCTAGTGGTGTCCTTGCTCCTAGTAGTGAGGTCAGGAGCTCCTGGCAGCATCCATGCTCTTGGTAGCAAGGTTTGGAGGTGGCCCATGTGTTGCTGAGCTCTGCCCACTTGGCTTCTAGAGCAAGAACTCACAGGAGGTACTGGAGGCTCCTGGCCTCCTTGGACAGACCTGCAAAAAGAACCCTAACTCATCCCTATTAAGGCCAAAATTGTGGACAATTAGGCCCCTCATATCAAAACTCACCATACTGTAGTCGTCCCGCGGCAGCACTAGATGCTGACATCCCAGGCCTGAGTCTTGCACGCGCAGGATCCTTTGGAGCATACATTTGCATCGGCTTCCATAGCTCAGTGGCTAGAGCGCCTGTGGGCGAGCTACAGGAGGTCCTTGGTTCAAGTCCAGGTGGAAGTATTACCCAGTGAGCCCATGTTTAATGACCATCAATTTTCTAACCCTGCGGGATTCGAACCGAAGACGTCAGCTTCTGAGCGTGACACTGTACCACTAGACTATTGTCACTTTTGATATAGAGTCCTTATTTGTCCACTAATTTGGCCTTAATAAGGATGAATTAGGGCTCAACTAATCTTTCGAGCGACGCTGCAATTTTCGGGCCGGCCGCTGCCAACCTGGGTCTGGGCTCTGGCCTCCATGCCTGGAGTATTTCAAGGGCCTGTCCATGGGCGACGAGCAGGGTCCCAGGAGCTTGTAGCGCGTCCATGCTCCCAGATGCGATGTGAGAAGCCCCTAGTGGTGTCCTTGCCCCTAGTAGTGAGGTCAGGAGCTCCTGGCAGCATCCATGCTCGTGGTGGACAGGTTGGGAGGTGGTCCATGTGGCTTGAGTGTGGCAGCAATTTGCGTGGGCTTCTTGCTGAACCCTGCCCAAATTTGTCCCTATTAATGCCAAATTAGTGGACTAGCATGCGCCTCACATCAATCGGGCACGCTCACAGGAAGGCAGGCCAGCAGGAGCTGCCGGCTGACGCTCGGGCGCAGCACAGTTGGCTGGACAGTGCCCATCCTCGTGCTCACATGCCCAAGATGTCGCTGTAGAAAAAGGTCCTGCCACGCGGCATAACATTCTGCCTTGAACTGTTCTCTTCAAAACCCGACTCTCTCTCAACACCGCCAAGACCTGAGCGTCAATGGAAGAAGCGGGTGGCCAGTCGGTCTGCTGAACGCCGCCGGGCAGGTATGGTTTGCTTCTGCTCCTGCCCCACATTTTGACCGCGTTTGCGACACTCAACCTCTTGTGTCACAAGTTTGCCCAGGCCAGCTCAAGCTCTCAGCAATGTCTCTTCTCCGCAGCTTCCTTGCACTTCTTGCGCATGTTGTTGCAAACAAAGGCCTTTCAAGTCTTCACGTGTCAGACTGCAGCCAAGAGTGCCTTGACGCGCAGCTGCAGCTCTTCCCGCAGCTGCAGCATCTCCTCAAGCAACAGGTCGCGCTGGCTCCCCATGTCCTGCGCTGACTCTGCTGCTCTAGCAGCTCTGCTGGCCTGCCTTCCTGTGAGCATGCCCGATTGATGTGAGGCGCGTGCTAGTCCACTAATTTAGCCTTAATAGGGACAAATTTGGGTAGAGGGCTGCCGGCTGACGTTCGGGTGCAGCGCAGTCGGCTGAGTTGGCTGGACAGTGCCCATCCTTGTCCTCACAGCGCCCAAGATGTTGCAAAAGACAAAGGTCCTGCCACGTGTCAGACTGCAGCCAAGAGGGCCCTTGACGCGCAGCTGCAGCTCTTCCGGCAGCTGCAGCATCTCCTCAAGCAACAGGTCGCGCTGGCTCCCCATGTCCTGCGCTGACCCTGCTGCTCTAGCAGCTCCTCCTGGCCTGCCTTCCTGTGAGCATGCCCGATTGATGTGAGGCGCGTGCTGGTCCACTAATTTGGCCTTAATAGGGACAAATTTGGGCAGAGTTCAGCAAGAAGCCCACCCAGCAACCAAAGGGACTGCCATGCTCCAGCAACATGGGCCACCTCCCGCCAAGAGCATGGATGCTGCCAGGAGCTCCTGACCTCACTACTTGAAGCAAGGACACCACTATAGGGCTTCTCACATCGCTTCTGGGAGCATGGGACGCCGCTAGAGCCTCTGCTACAGGCACCTGGGACCCTGCATCGCCCATGGACAGGCCCTTGAAAGACTCTAGGCATGGAGGCCAGAGCCCAGACCCAGGTTGGGAGCGGCCGGCCCGAAAATTGCAGCCTCGCTCGAAAGATTAGTTGAGCCCTAATTCATCCCTATTAAGGCCAAATTAGTGGACAAATAAGGACACTATGTCAAAAGCGACAATAGTCTAGTGGTACAGCGTCACGCTCAGAAGCTGATGTCCTGGGTTCGAATCCTGCAGGGTGAGAAACTTGATGCTCATCAAACATGGGCCAGCCCCTTGCTCTAGAATCGATGTGAGAAGAACAGTGGGGTCTTTCAGGGATCTTTCAGGGGCCTGCCGATAGGCCATGAGCAGGGTCCCAGGTGCTTGTAGCAGCCTATCTGGCAGCCCCTAAGCGGCGTCCATGCTCCCAGAAGCGATGTGAGAAGCCCCTAGTGGTGTCCTTGCTCCTAGTAGTGAGGTCAGGAGCTCCTGGCAGCATCCATGCTCTTGGTGGAAAGGTTGGGAGGTGGCCCATGTGCACCCCCTTTGGTTGCTGGGTGGGCTTCTTGCTGAACTCTGCACAAATTTGTCCCTATTATGGCCAAATTAGTGGACCCGCACGCGCCTCACATCAATCGGGCATGCTCACAGGAAGGCAGGCCAGGAGGAGCTGCCGGCTGACGCTCGGGTGCAGCACAGTCACGCTCCAGCCACATGGGCCACCTCCCACCAAGAGCATGGATGCTGCGAGGAGCTCCTGACCTCACTGGACACCACTAGGGGCTTCTCACATCGCTTCTGGGAGCATGGACGCCGCTAGAGCCTTCCAGATGGGCTGCTACAAGCTCCTGGGACCCTGCTCGTCGCCCATGGACAGGCCCTTGAAAGACTCCAGGCATGGAGGCCAGAGCCCAGACCCAGCTTGGCAGCGGCCGGCCCGAAAATTGCAGCATCGCTCGAAAGATTAGTTGAGCCCTAATTCATCCTTATTAAGGCCAAATTAGTGGACAAATAAAACAGTCATGTCAAAAAACCACTGTTGTCTAGTGGTACAGCGGCAGGCGGTCTGGGTTCAAATCCCATCGACCCACTCTCAATCGCAATGGTGGCAACCGAAGTCCACAAAGCGTCCAAGCAACAAAGTAAAGCGCACCTTTATGGCTGCAAGTGTCGAGGTCGTAACGCGGTCGGTTCAAGGGCCCTTCGGACAAAGATGCGACGGAAGTCGCTCAACTGGAAAACATGACACCTCATGACAGGTGTACAGCAAAATGCATTCGCATGTTGACACCCACAATATTTTGATGAGAAAAAGCACGCCTGGTGGGCGGTGAGCATGGTCGAAGTGAGGGGAAGTGTCCAAGTACTTGAGAAAGTAGAGTAATGTCAACATGGTATTAACCAACCCCCCCTATTAGTCTACCCAGGGTTGAGGCACTAATTTGAACTATGAATTTCCACAGGCACCACCCTCTAATAAAAATTTTGCTTGGCTGAACCCCCCCCTATTAGTCTACCCCCTGTCGCCCCAGGAAAAATATCATTACTCAAATATATATGTGTTTAATTAGCTTTGTCCTTTTTGCCTTTTCAATATCATTCCATCCCAGCTCTTCCAAATACTAATTCCCTTTCATTTCAATTCTTCCAAATACTAATTCCCTTTCATTCCAATTCTTCCAAGTACTAATTCCCTTTCATTCCAATTCTTCCAAATACTAATTCCCTTTCATTCCAATTCTTCCAAGTACTAATTCCCTTTCATTCCAATTCTTCCAAATCTAATTCCCTTTCATCATCAGGTCATCCCCACTATTACGGGGATGTGATCTCCAAAACCTCGAATCTCAGACCTTGTTGACCTTGTTGACCTTCTAGGGGGGGGGACGGGGGGGCCCGTTGATTAATACGACGTTGGCATTACAAAGACGTCCTGCACACAAGACTTGCAACAGCATTCAAAAGCACAGCAAACGCCTTGCTCTCTTTTCTCACGCACTGGAGCCAAAAGCAAGCAAAGTTCAAAAGGCTTTGAGGCATCCCCCGCGCCCACGTCCATGTCACTTAAGGTTACACATGCGGGCTCTCTGCCGCAAAAAATGAAAACAAATTTCAATCATCCGGGCTGGCTAGGACGCACAGTTAGAATTGTTTGGGCAACCCAGCCTTTTCGCCAATTTTGGTTCGCAAGAGTGGCAGGGCTGCTGCGCAGTACTTTTGAAAGCCCATGCTCACCACAAAGGAGCCCTTTGCTTTGTGATGGTAGATCTGGCCCGTGATGAACAAACAGCCTGCCACTCTGACAAGGCAACAGTCTTTCCACGCCATCAGATCAACTTCACAACCAAACCCGGAAACCACATGGCTTTGAACCAACAAAAAGTTTTGCAGCAACTAAGGCCAAAATAAGGCCTTATTAGAACAACACTTTGGCAAAACCATGGTTGCAGCAGACCCGCCTAACTCAGCATGGGGTAAGTTTTCAAAATCTGCAGCAATGTCTGCCAAAACAAAGGCCATTGCAGCTGCAGATATTGCATCTGCAGATGGCCCTGCGCTTGAAATCTTGTCGTCCACAATGTCATCCGGTCTGCGCGGAAACCTGTGGCGCAACAGTCCAGGGCAACTTATCAGTTATCATGGGCACCAAACGAACAACCACCACCTGAAAGGTTGCAGGCCCCTCCACCAGTACCAGTGGTTCACCGTCTAATTGCCATTCTTTGGGTGGAACCCTCTTCATGGTCTTGTTTTTGAATTTAAACTCAACAAAATGACCAAATTCAAAGGGATTTTCGACAAGGCTTGCCTGATATCATCATTAGAGATTTCAGGTAGGGGCGTGCCATTCACATCGGTCACAGCATTGAACTCCTCCACCAACTTGCTGTCACTGAGACTGAATCGAAGCCAACAATTCGGAGTTGGGAAGGACTGGGGGCACTCCTCCCTCCCATACGGAGACGAGCAGCTGTACATCCATTTTTGAAAAGGTCCAATCCGCCTGTTTTTATTGTGGCGGGCTGCCACATCTGTGAGGTGGCCAAAGGTGCTTTCCAGGTTGTTTTTGGTGGTTGAGGTTCCGCACCTCAAACGAGACATCAATTTGATGAGCTCTCTGTCGGACGCATCATAATTGGACTGTTGGCACATGGCCATGATGTCCAGCGCCAACGTTTCCTTGTGCCAACCAATATCTTCCAAAAGCTGGGACAAGAGTTTTGAGTTCTGACTCTTGGCCAAGTGGAGCACTGCATCAAACATGGTTCGAAGACTTTTCATTGTTTCAGTTCTTTCATCCACATCATGGCTCAGCATAGCGACAGCTGCGCCGGGCATGCCCAGCTTGTACGCCATATTCCTCCAAATGAGTCCAGAGGCAAGTTTGCAGCCAAAGGAGAACGCTGACTCAAGAAGTTTCCTCTCATCCTCAGATTGAACGTTCAGCGGTCACAATGTTTGTCACAAAGTTTGGTTGGGGGTCCGCAGAATAAATGACTGGTTCCAACCTATTAATAGGGCCTTATTAGGGTGCAGGCAAGAAAGCTATTCAATCCGTTTCAAGGCTCCCAAATCCATTTGATGGTGAAATCAGCTGCTAAGGGCGGCTTGCAAAAGCTGCACAAGCCCAATTCGCTTGCCAAATCATCTGAAAAAGCCTGCGCTATGAGGTCAATCGCGGTTTTGGTCCACGAAGAGCCCCTTGCTCGCTCGCAGTTCCATTGAAGCATGGACTCGAAACCCTGTTTCTGAGCCTTCAAATCATTGGCATATTTGTGCTCCAAAGGCGATGCCACAACAGTTATGAGGATGGCTGCTTCTCGCAGCGAGGAATCCAACATGAATTCTTGGAAAAGAGCTGTGGGTGACTTGCCACTATATGCACGGTAAAGCTCTGCCTTGGAAGATAGTCGTGGCTTAGGCTCTGCGCTGGAATTTGCTGCCTCACCTTCCGCCAGAGAGGATCCACTCGCTGAGTCTTCGTCCACACCATCGTCCTGAGGCACAATCTACACGGTGAACATTCATTGAAAAGGCCTAAATTCCAGTCAAACAAGACCTAATTAAGACTTAATTAAGACTCAATTAAGGCCACTTCAACAATGGCCAAATCCGAAAACGTTTCACTGCGACACAATCAGCAAACCTGCCCTGGATCAAGGTCAAGGCGCTGCTCCCTCACCAACAACCTCCATCATTGCGATTGCAGCAGCTCCCATCACAACCCATCCCTTGACCAAAGCTCTAAAGGAGTGGTTCATGCCAAACCAGCTTTTCGTCTTTACCTGAGGAAACGTGGGCGCATAGTAAGTAACTACCTGGAACACAGAACATTTTGCACACGGTACAGTAAAATTATGTAAATAAAAACTGTCATTATGGTTTACTTGTAGCGAGTTGCATAAAGCCCTTTTGCCCGGACTGACTGGGAGTTCATAATGTTGTCCAGCAGTTCAACAGGAGAGCCTTCCTCACGGGATACTTGCCTGTTCTGTGCCATGTCCTCAGAAAAGTTTTCCCACCAAGTTGAATTCTGTCGGGACAAAAACACCTCCAGCGCAGATTTCATACGCAAATGTTTATCTCCAGATCTGTACGCACCGTGAGCGTAGTTCGCAGCAATAGTGAGCTTGAGCATCGCTGTTTGAAAGTCACTCCCATCCGGAAGCTCTGTCCCCTTGAACGCACCGCGGAAAGTGTTCCACAGTGAATGAGCAAGATCTGGCTCTAGGTCACCTCTGACCTTCAAATTGCGGAACACGTAGCGCCATGCCTTTGTTTGGCTAGTTTCCTGGTCTTCAACCTTGGTGTATTGAAGCAAATTTGAAATTTGGACACATGGAGCTTTTAACCACAATAGTTTGTATACTAGTCATTTGGTACAGGAGGAGATTCCCAGGCAGGATTATCAATCTAGATCCCTTGAAACAATACCTTATTAAGACCTTGTTAATGAGTGGACACAACAAACATGTTTAGATTGAGCCCAGCCAGGGTACAACCCGCAAAATGTTTCTCTCGTGAACGGGCGGAAGTTGAATGGAGCCTAGGTTCTGAAGCGTCGGCAAGCTGGTGGCTTCTGGAATGAAGTCCTTCAAGCTCTTGTCTACCATCTTCACCAGGGTGTGGTTGATCATTTTCATCACTGTCTCGGTTGGTTGTTGACAAAAAGGCGGCCCCAAGCTAAGCCTTATTTCCACCTTACTTTGCCCTTAATTAGGCACTACTCGCAGACACAGGTAGACATTGGCACAATAGGGTTGATGACATAAAAACTGTGAATGGCGGAATGCTATTTCAAGCAGGAAAAGTGTATCTGAGATTCTGACGTAGAAGCCTTTGCCCTCACGCTTGCTAAGTTTTGGCCTCAATCGTGTCTGACAGACCAGTACGCCAGTAGAAACATCTACACAAGGAGTTGCTTGAATGGCAAAAGCTCGTGGACCCACAACTAGATGAACAAAACTTACATCATGGCCTCATCACAGAAGTGCCATCTAGGACTTCTTGCAATATCGAAGGAATGGCCTGGGCAAGTGTCAAAAGGATGTTCTTCAATTTTGCATGTATTACCCCAGAAATTGACATGCAATGTTCAATTTTGGCCCTATTTTGGTCTTATTTGGGCCTTGTTTAGGGGCCTTGCAATGTTCAACTCTGAAGTAGAAAACACACCTTGAGGCTCTGGCCAAAACCGGGGCATATGCTCCAACCTTTTCTTCTGGCGACCAAATGAAAATCAACTCGCTGGGATAGCCTCCTATGGCAGAGCCATCCATGTACCAGTGATAAACTCTAGCTTTGCGAAGCCGCTCTCTTGCATGGAAGTAGTAGACAAACTGAGCATTGTAAGCAACTTTTGCTGTGAAATTCGCAAGCTGAATCTTCGTGGGCTTGAACCTTTGCAGGGCATTGGCCGCAGCCTTGCTCAGAAACTTTTCCTGACACACACACACACGAGTTTGAATTCCATACAAGGCAAACATGCAGTTCCATACAGTCTTTATGGGGGGTGAAATGGCCGCGAACTAAACCAAATGAACATCACACTTGCTGCAAACATGAATCCTTGCCCTTCCACAATTCTTCTGAAATGGACCGCTTGATTTCCGTGGAAACGGCAACTGGAAGGCGCTTCTTGCCCCAGCTTGAGACTTCTGAGTGTTTTGCAGCCAAATCACAAAGCCGTGTATCAATGCAGTATGCAATTTGAGTGAGCAAGCTGTATGTGTTTGGCAGCACTAATTGAGCTAACCACCTCTTGTGCGAAGGATCAAGACAGAACGCAAGCCATTCTTGGAGGGTAATCCTTTCAAAAGAGCTGTAGATCCACGGTTTGTCCATTGACTCCCGATCCAAGTCCCACTCCTCCTCAAGCGAGTCTCTAACATGATCCACGAAAAGGTTCTCAGTCTCCATCATCATGGAGCTTGTCACCGTTAGAGTGACAAAGGGCTCTGATCTTGGATCCTGTGACCCCTGAATCTGGCGGAATGAGAATCTCACCTCCCCCACAGTGGAAATGAGTTTGTGAACAAGGCCTTGAAAGGCCTTGACCGAGAATTTCCGGGCTTCGAGCTGACGCCGCGGGTGCGAAGTGCAAAGAAGAATGTACGCCATGAACACTGAGGTTGGAATGGTGTTCTCTCTAAAGAAGTGTCCCTGGCCCTCCCGACTTTCGCCTGAAAGGAACTTGGACTGACGTGGAGTCCAAGCAACTCCTGGCCACAGCACATTGAAGTAATTCCTAACCAAAGGCAAGGTTGATCGAAATCTCTCCAAAGCCTTCTTGTGGTCGCTTGTCCTTTGAAGCCAGGTTCCAACTGAGGAAGTGATCCACTCGCATTCAACATGTTCCGAGTGATAGCAGTAGAGACTGTGATCAGAGATTACCACCGCACACAAATGATCGAAGACATCATGCTTTTCCCGGCACTCTCCGGAAGCACCCGGTCCGCCCACGCTTTCATCCTGAAAGTCAGATTCCTCATGGTCTTCCTCCTCAGCAAGGACAACCTCCATGAGATGAGCCAGGCTCCTCAAACGACCCCCCGTCCTCTTCCTCAGGAAGAACAAGGGCCATGAAACCAGGCATGCGCCAAGCTGAAACGTCTGTTGAGTGAGCATTTGACCCAGAAGTTGCAAGCCAGGAAATCTACTACAATCTAAGCACCAAATCAATCCTTAATTGGCCCTTAATTGGCCTGAATCAGAGGTGAACTGCAATTGGCACAAACAGCATGAGACCATGTGAAAATAGCTGCCAGTATTGGGCTTGTGCTCAGGGATTTTGTGGTGTCTTTTGCCCTCATATGTCATATTTTGGTGGAACTGATTGAACGGCAGGAGCAAAGACATTTTTCCTGCTCCTTGCTGCTGTGTGAGGTGTGTAGATATGGTTGTGCGCCACCCTTTTTGCCTGCCAGCTTGAACGGGCTCTCACTTCCCTCAAACCGTTCAAATTTTGAACCGAACAACGAGCGAACAAGGTTAGCAACACGGAAAACCCAACGCTTGCAGCAACTAAAGGAATGTTCTTTGCTTCGGGAAGCGTCCGCCAAGAACAGCAGGGCTTGTGGCTGTACAAAACAGTACTTCCAGCAGTTCAAGAATTGCGGGAACCGGATGTAACCTGTCAAAAAAAGTGAATTGCAACTAAAGTGTCTTCACCCTGGAAAAGTTCTTCCATTTCCTCAGGCTGAACTCCATAGTCTGCAGCGGCCGCAGCAGATATTTGCTCCGTTTTGTAAAGTCTCTTCTCAATGGCTTCGCCCGAATAACCTGGATTGAAACCAGCAATATATAATATTGGGACAGAAACGTTGGGAACACACATACGACAATTAAGAAATCACGCTTGCGCTAAGAAGCCCAGAGTAAACTTGAGGTGCGTGGCGCCATTGAGTCTTGTCAGCCAGTGTCTTGATGCCGCACGGAGTTCAGTTGTTTTGCGACCATCTCGGATTGCTTGATACCATTTTTTTTTGAGTGGGAAGTGGACCACCTTTTTTCTTTCCTGGCAAAAAATGTGTATAAAACAGCGAACGTGCTGGGAAGTACACGCAAAAACGCCCTAGAACCTAGGACTAGCTTCACTAGGCGGCAGTCTCCTGGTGCGATCAGAAAACTGTAGCTGCAATGCGAACAAATGCCTACTACAATATTTCAATTAAAAAGGCTTGCTTTCTCAGACATCAAATGAAATGTCTGGCCTCGGCTGTGGCCACCGGAACCTCTGCCATGTCCTCGTCTGCTCCCTGGCGCAGCGTTGGGGAAGGCTCTAGGCTCTACCAGTCGAATGTCCAAACTAGACTAAATTGAGACCCTTATTCAGGACATGAAAAGGTCCAGCAAAC